ACTGTACATTTTTTGCTTTTTCTTTCTTGATTGCAAAATGGTAGTGTTAGATATCAATTTCATTTAGTATAGCATATTATTTTTATTTTCAACGCATACTTTCCATTGCCCTGAGCTTTGGTTTCACCGTTTATCTTTTAACCCATGTCCGGCCGATAAGAATGAAATTTCCCGACCTTTGTACTTTTCCATCGTACGATGCTCGGCCGCGGCACAGTCCGCTACTACTCCTCTCGACATTAAGTCACTTTTCATGCAGCAATACGCTCACCGCTATCATAACCTTTCATATTTCACTACAAATCAAATTCAACCCTCATTAGGCCATAAAAGATCGTTTTGTTTTTGCCTTTTTATAACAAGAAGTGAGTTTTAAGTTTATTTTTCGTGTACATAAACTATTTCTAACTGACTGGGGATACAAATTCTAGACCACTTCTAGATGAGCTAGAGACTTGAAATTTTCGGTGTTTTGTAGGTCTAGTGCCCAAACCACCCATAAAATTCCAAAAAGTCGCATTTTCAAGTTTTAACCCCCCCCCCCCGAAATTTTGAATTCCCCCCCATGTTATTCTTATGGGGAATAACATTAAAAATGGCCGACTTTGGTGTGCCCATCTGAACGGTTTAGAAACGTGCTAGAGACTTCAAATTTGCGTAGTATTTTACTATGGGATCTTACATTGACGGTGAATTTCGCAAAAGTCCCATTTTCCAATTTTAACCCCCCCAAAAATCCAAAATGGCGGACCTCTGCAAACGACAAAACACGTTTTTTTCAAAGGGATATAGCTCGAAAACGGTAAGAGCTAGAAAAGATTTGAAAGTATATCCAGGAACAGGAATTAAATTTTATACAAAACCTCCTCAAGCGTTTTCCGGAAATCGCACTCCTTAAGCTTCAAAAAACGCCCTACTTTCAAAATTTTGTAAATTTCTTTAAAATTTGTATCGGTTTTCGCTATGTTTTCGTACCTTAATAATTATTTTTTGCAAATATTATTAATGTTTCGTATTCTCCTTAGTTTACTTTACATTTCACCCTCTACATGTTTTTTCGTAACTTTACTCCTTGACCCCCAAAAACTTAATTTTAATGTGAAAATTTGATTGTTTTTTACCGCTTTTACCAGCCCCATGTTATTCTTATGGAGAATAGCTATGACATTTTAATACTTTGGTATGCTCATCTGATTAGTTTAGAAACGTTCTAAAGACTTTAAATTTTTTTAGTATTGTAGTATGGGATCATCCGTTTATGGTGGAATTTGCAAAAATGCCTTTTTTAAATTTTAACCCCCAAAAAAATCCAAAATGGTAGACGTATAAAAACGACAAAACACGGTTTTTAAAAACGACTATATCTCAAAAACGGTAATAGCTAGCAAAAATTTGAAAGAATCTTCATGAACAGGAATTAAATGTCCTACAAGACACTATTATGCGTTTTTAGAAAATCACACTCATTCACCTAAAGAAAACGCCCTACTTTCAAATTTTGGTAAATTTTCTTCAATTTTTTTTACCGGTTTTTGATTATTTTTCGTACATAAAAATTTTTTTCTTCAAATATTATTAATGTTTTGTACTCTCCTTAGTTTACTTTACATTTCACCCTTTACACGTTTTTTCGTAACTTTACTACTTGACTCCCAAAACGCGTAGGTCAGTAACGCTGTATAGTCATTTGGTTCTCGCTCTAATTTTTGCTAATGGATTTGGCTACCCATGATTAAGTTTCACTGTCACTTCTTCCTATTTATTGGACTTGTTATTTTGGCGATTTTGCTGCAATTTTCTGTAAGCATGGAATTCTCTTGCGTTGCGTCTGGGTCGTTCCACCAGGGAGATCCCAGATTTACCGAGAGCAACAACGCTCAATGCATGGCAAATGCAACCTGTGCCCTCGCATGGCAAGCATTCTGCGGCGGATTCAGTACCAACGCTATTGACGCTATACTCATGGCGGGCGATAGCTTGTATACACTATCTCGCCGTGAGCACAGCATCACTAACCGGTATCTGTTCCCTGGGGACCTTGCCAGGCACTTCGTGGTTGCACACCATCGTGTAACCATCGAAGAAATTTCTTGTGTTTGGGACGGGTTGTATCCGTTACGAAACGATGGCCTAGATGAGGTGACAACTTCCTTGTCTTCGGTTTTGGAAGCAGCTATGCCCGGTGACTCCGTTGATAGCGGTTTTTTGTTTACGGGACAGTTGGTGACAGTCGCTTTTTGGCGTTTCCAAGGGCGGCTGTACCTCTTTGATTCCCACGCGGTAAACGAAAACCGTCGTCGAGACATTGATGAGGCGAGAAATAAGGCTAGGGTGTTCGTCTGTAATAGTTTTCCTTCTCTAGCTTCCCTCATTTTGGTGAATTCTGCGTTCGTCGGTGGGCAGTACTCCGTCACAAAAATAAAGTTTTTCGTCAACGAAACTCAAACTGTCCACACGGTCGACTGTTCGGACAATGACTTAACTCAGTTATCAGAATCTGCCTCTGAGACAGTTGTTCAGAAAACCAAATGTTCTGGTAGACCAAAAACAATAAAGCGTGGTCGTCCAAAGCTTTTAGACACGACCCGAGAAGAGCAAGTGGATGCGGCGAAGAAGAAGTATAGGGAGACGCACGCTGACAAACTCCGGGATGACAGTCAACGTTACACTCAAACCCACCCTGAGGTGCACCGAAAGGCTGTTCAGCAATACGACCTGCGTAATCCCGGTGCTTCTGCTGAGAGAGTTCAGGTTTTTCGCCTGAAAAATCCGAAAATGTCTGAACTTCGCTTTATGCCCGCATCACTTGCTCGGTCCGTAGTCACAAATGGCCCCATGTCTGTTTGGAATGGGGAGCCACTCAATGAAATACAACCATACAAATTAAAAAAAAGTCAGTCTCTGGGTTGATGACGTTTTCAGATCATTGCCAAGCACGGCTCTTCGAGGAGGAGAAGAATAGAAAGCAATGGTGCTGCGGGGAAGGAGCGTTCAACGTTCTCGACCTTCCTCCTTTGCAAGAACGCTTTTATTCTGACCGTCTCTTCCTGGAAAGAGCCCGTGCGTACAACGACCTGTTTGCTTTCTGCGCGCTCGAAGTGTCAGGCGGGTATCGTCATCCCAGTGGTCTTTCTTTTTTCAAGATCGAGGGAAGAATGTACCACCAGGTCTACAATCTGGACGCCCCAGGACAAAAGTTCACCACTCGTTCTGGGAACGTTCAGTTTGTGAATCGGTCCCGCCTGTATATTGACGATGGCGAAGAGCGCCGTAACATTGCGATGGGTAGATCGCTTGATGCCGAGATCATCGACGGTATTGCTGATTTCCTGTCTAGGGAAAATCCTTACATTGAGCATTACCGTCGATTGAGCAACGAGCCTTCCGTAACAGCTCACTTGGATTTTGAAGTAACAAGCAGGTCTACCCATGGCCCTGTTCTCGGTGATCGGCAAACAGGCGTCGAAGTGCACGCCGTGCTCAGCAATGATGAAAACGACACTGAGCCCCGGAGACTGACAATATGGAAATCCGGTTCCGATAGACCTACATTTATTGATCTTTTACACCCCCTAATGGAACCTTTCCAATATCCCCTACTCTACCCGCAAGGCACTGTGGGATGGCACGTTGGTCGCCTTGATAACAAGGGTGCCAAACTGACTCAATTTAAGTACTCGCGGTGCCTCCTACTTTCTGAACCTCGCTTCTCTCACCTAGGCCGTCTCTCACAAGCTTGGCAGGTTGAGATGTTCGCGAGGTACGAGGAGCAGAAACTGCGTTATATTAAGTTTACGCAGCTGAAGAACACCGATAGTGCCTTGCGGGTGGGGCCGGTTGACGAGATTCGGAATGCACAGCAGGTCTTGAACGACATCGCTCGTGATGAAACCGTCCAAGGCGAGGGTGGGGTGCAGGCAGGAAAAGTCTACCTCCCAAGTTCGTTCACCGGGGGGCCCAGGTACATGAAAGTAAAATACGAAGACGCTATGGCAATCGTATCGCGCCTGGGTTCCCCCACTTTCTTTTTGACGTTTACGTACAACGCGACTTGGGGGGAAAACAAGAAAGCTTGCCCTTGTGGAGGTACTCGCAGTGACCCTCCACAAATGGCGAAGAGCGCCGTAACATTGCGATGGGCACTGCTTGCAGAGTTTTTAGCGGATATTCCCTCGGAAGAAGAGGCCGGAGGCCGACTGAGGAAGTTGGTCCTCAAACACATGATCCACGGTCCATGTGGTAATGATCATAGGACTGACTTTCTCTGTTGGGACTCTGCAAAGGGTTACTGCACCAAATACTTCCCCAAGCCCTGCTGTGAAACCACCCACGTCGACGAGAGGGGATTCGTCCAGTACAAGCGAGATTATACCAATCGGGGGACAATTGTATCACGCAATAAGAACATTATCGTACATGACGGTTGGGTTGTGCCTTATAATCCCGCACTGATGTTGAAATACGAGGCCCACATCAATTTGGAGCTGGCGTCTACTCGCCGCGTGATTAAGTACCTCTTCAAATATCTTATGAAGGGAGGATCTCTCCAGAACGTCACAGTTACTCCCTTCAGTAAGCAAGATGATGAGGTACAGCATTACGTGACGAAGAGAATGGTGGGTGCCAGTGACGCGTGCTGGCGTTTATTAAACTTTCCAGTATCAGAATCTGAGCCGGCTGTTGAATGTCTTCCCGTCCATCTGGAGGGCAAGCAGTCCGTCCTGTTTAGACCTGGCCAACTGGCAGAGGCAGCCGCTAGGAACAGCTCAAAACTCACCATCTACTTTGACCGGCCTCGTATTTCACTGTTTGACGACCTGACTTATCAGGGGTTCTAGGAAACGTTTGTGGTTCATGTCAAGCGCCCAAAAACTGCGGAGATATACGAGCACCCCGATGGCGTCCATTTTATCACTGCCCGACAGCGTGGCGAGAAGGTGTGCAGACTGTTTTGGGTCTCTCCGAGCAGGACAGAACAGTATTACCTGCGTATCCTGCTTATGACTGTATCTTGCCATGGTTATGCCGACCTCCTGTCCCGCGGTGGACCAAACTGCCGCACTTTTCAAGGGGTCGCGCGGCATCTTGGCTTGGTGCAAGACGAGCAGGAGTACCACTACGCACTGCGAGAGGCCGCCACTTTTATGACCGGCCCGAGACTTCGTTCTTTCTTTGTGATCCTCTGCAACATGGGGGCTCCTGCAGCTCTCCTGTGGGATGCTTTCCGTGATTCCATCTGCGAGGACCACATAGAGCGTAATCCTCTCGATGTTGAACTGGCCTACAAGCTAGGTCTCATCGATATTGATCGGAGTCTTCGTCGGCAAGGTTCTTGCGTCGCAGATCACGGCCTCCCCGATGTACACGATGACACGACGGAGTTGGGCAGAGAACTGCTCTTACACGGTGAAAATCAACAGAGAGTGTTTGTTGAGGAGTGGGTGCCAAAGCTCTCTGAAGATCAAAACCGCGTATTTGAGTACGTTACCTCCGTTCTCAATGCCCCTGCCAGCGGAACGTCGTCGAAAATCATTTTTCTTGACGGTCCGGGAGGCTATGGGAAGACCACTCTGATTCGTGTCATTCTCGCATACGTGAGAGGTTGTCGTCAGGTTGCACTCGCAGTCGCTAGCTCTGGGATCGCCGCGGGTAACATGCCTGGTGGAACTACAGCTCACAGCATGTTCCGGTTGCCACTCGACTTCGGTGACGGCACCGGCTTTTGGAACATCACCAACGGCTCCCAGCGAGCAGAGCGCATCAGGGCCGCAAGGCTCATTGTCTTTGATGATGCCCCGATGGCACATCGGTTCGTTTTCGAGGTTCTTGACAGATCCCTGCGAGACCTCATGCGTTCCAGTGAGCTATTCGGTGGTAAAATATTCCTCTGTTGTGGCGACTTTCGCCAGATCGCGCCTGTCGTTGTAAACGCTCGTACTCCAACTGACATTGTTTGTGTCTCACTTCGGGCTTCCCATCTGTGGCAGCATTTTAAAATTTTTGCCCTGACAACAGCTCATCGGACTAGTAGTTCCACAGCCTATTCCGAATTCCTTCTTAGGGTAGGCAACGGAACTGTCAGTTCGACCACTTTCTTGGAGGGACGGAACGAACAAAGTCTAATTCCGCTGCTCGGGATTAGACAAGTGACGTCTTTGACTGATTTGGTCGATTCCGTCTTTCCCGCAAACGTCCTACTCGACTCTGATATGTGTTCGCGACGCGCAATCCTCTCGAATCTGATAGTGAACGTCAAGGAGATCAACGACCACATCTTGAACTCCCTTGACGGTCATCTGTACGAGCTGAGGAGCGCCGACACAGTTGACAGAGAGAACGACGATGGCCTGGATCTCGACGTTCAACTCCTGAACACGGCTACTGGCAAGGGCGTACCAGACCATGTTCTGCGGCTGAAGATCGGCTCTGTTTGCCTCATTATGAGGAACCTCAACATCGCTGAAGGACTCGTCAACGGCACTAAAGTCATCGTAATCGGCATCACCAACCGCCTGATTACAGTGAGACTTCCCGGACAGACGCAACCTATCGGAATTCCCCGGATTACCTTTACTTTTGCGTTTGTCGAGGGTTCGCCGTTACGTGTTCGTCGACGTCAGTTCCCCTTGACGGTCATCTGTACGAGCTGAGGAGCGCCGACACAGTTGACAGAGAGAACGACGATGGCCTGGATGTCGACGTTCAACTCCTGAACACGGCTACTGGCAAGGGCGTACCAGACCATGTTCTGCGGCTGAAGATCGGCTCTGTTTGCCTCATTATGAGGAACCTCAACATCGCTGAAGGACTCGTCAACGGCACTAAAGTCATCGTAATCGGCATCACCAACCGCCTGATTACAGTGAGACTTCCCGGACAGACGAAACCTATCGGAATTCCCCGGATTACCTTTACTTTTGCGTTTGTCGAGGGTTCGCCGTTACGTGTTCGTCGACGTCAGTTCCCACTGATGTTGGCCTATTGCATGACCGGACACAAGAGCCAAGGTCAGACAATAGATTCAGTCTGTGTTGATTTACGGACCGATTGCTTCACGCACGGGCAACTGTACGTCTTGCTAAGTAGAGTCAGACATCCTGACCATATTGTCGTTCTGGTACATCCCGAACGTGTCCGAGATGGAATCGCATACGCGAGGAACATCGTGTATGGCGATCTCCTTCTCTAAACCGGACTTGACACCAGCAGTAGGCTAGGGGATCTGCTTCATCAAAACTCCCCGTCGTGACTTGACAACACCGGCAGTTGTACATAGGGGGCCTTACCAAAAGTCCCCGTTTTTGTATATTTTTTTCTTTTTTTACTTTCTCCCCCTATACCATAGTATATGGAGAAAGTATTGTTTTCGTCAAAATTTTCGAGTTTGAGTTTTGTGTGGATATATTCGTTTTGGGCCCCCCTGGACCCAAAAGAGTGGTTTTCGAAGTGATGTCTGTGTGTGTGTGTGTGTGTGTGTGTGTGTGTGTGTGTCTGTATTCACCGAATAGTGGCATCCTTCACAGGCACACGGCCGTACTGTGGCACCTTCAAAAATTGTGGCACCTTTTTCAGGGTGCCACAGCTAATTCGATCATTTTTGAGGTTTTCCAGCATTATTACGTCGTTTAAACATCACATGCCACAATTGAGTATTTTTGAACTCGTTGATGGGAGTTTAAGTAGCGCAGGTACACGCCGAATTGTGGAACACGAAACCATACAGGTAGCTAGCGCGCCTCGCGCCGTCCGCCGGAACTATAACTTTCCTAATGCTACGTTGCCAATTCTCGCGCCAGCTTACACTCTAAATAGTGGCACCATGCCACAATTCAGTATATATCAACAGTGTGTGTACAGGATGCCACTTAATGAGTTGTAGCGCTTGAGCAGTGTGTAGAACAGTGCAACAAGCAACTAATAAACTAATAATACTGTACTGCCACGTACAATAAAACAATTTAAGTACCATAAATAATATACTTTTGCTCCAAGTGGTGAACAAAGTTTTACATTAAAAATAATTTGTATTGTAACTAATTATTTAAATTGTTTTTATGCAACCATTAAAAAATGTATTTTTGTTTACAAACATAAATTGGTAACGTAGTTACTTTGTATATCAATTGAATTTTTACATTGAAACAATAACAATGTTTTAGGTTAGAACACTATATAAGTTGTCCTATGCTGCAATTTTTTATCTTACAAACTATTTCGTGCTGACATCTGTTTTATTAACATTCTAGTCATGTTGACAAAAATTTTACAATTACATTTCTAAATCACTCAGTAGCGGTAATTATTATTATTTATTATTATTATTATTATTTTTTTATCATTTTATTTAATTTACAATCTGTTAAAAAAATAGAACAATAAGCAAATGTGATAAAATTTAAACACAGTAGTTAGTCCTTATCCAACAATAAAGCTAACAAACAAACTTTGCATATTGGCACAAAGTTTAAAGTCCATAAATCTCTAAAAACGACTACTTAGGTCCAAAACATGGCATCTTTTCAATCTATATACAGTTGCTGTTGTTCAACAAATTCAAAGCGAGGTAGTTGGTATGGTACTCTAATTTCTTTAAGTATTTGGCACTTAAGCTTGAAATTTCTTCTTTGATCGTTGGGGTTCGACTGTCTCTATGGAGCACTTCGTTGTTAACGAACCATGGTGCCTGAAGAATGTGTCTAAGAACTTTAGATTGGAATCTTTGGATGATGTTCAAATTGGATTCACTGGATGTCCCCCACAGTTGGATACCGTACGTCCACACTGGTTTTAGAATGGTTTTATATAAAAGCAATTTATTTTCTGATGTTAATTTAGAATTTTGATTTAATAGGCAAGAAAGAGGTAAATTTCGATGCAACATTGCTGAAAGTTATGTTTTGCTTCTCACTCTCAGAGTATTCCAAAGACATCTAATGTTTCAATCCATGTTCAAATGTTATATGAGGTAAACATATAACCGAATGTACGGTACTTCAATTCAACAATTAAACAACAATTAAACACAACAACAACAATTAACCAACAATTAACAACAATTCAACAACAACAAACAACAACAACAACAACAACAACAATTTTCAACAATTAAAGTACGGTACTTAAATTAAAATACATATTATTACTAGGGTTGCTTTCAGAGAGGTGAAAACCAGTTGAGCGGAAAAAACGTGATTTGATATTTGTATAAGTAACTAAATGTAAAAACTCAATAGATGTACTAATGCTGGTTTTATTGGTTAAAATTATAATAATTCAAATTTGTTTTACTACATCTTGTTATTCAGATACCTCTTCCAGAAGTGCATTATGGTAGTTTTGACCAGGAAAATATTACAGTAGTTGGAATCTGATATTAACATCCAAATTTAACTGTAGCCCACAACAAAAACATTGGGCTTCATTTTTCACCCTTACAATCGGTTAAAGTATTGAAGTATAAAAAAAACGTAATTATTAAAAAAAACTAGTATTAAAGTATAACAACAGGAGGGAAAATTTGACATTTAAATTCAACTGTGCAACATAAACATTGGTCTTCATTTCAACCCTTGCAATCGGTTAAGCTCAGCTTTCTTTGCTGGAAATAATTTATGATTGTTAATACCAAGTATTCTTGATATGATGGAGGATATTATTGTAATGTAACTAGAATGTACGTCTTCTACCATTATTAGGACGATTTAGAGACAGCATTTTAATATTGTTCTTAATAATGGCCATTGGATACAGAAGATTTTGATGAAAAAGGCTTGCTACAAATTTAACATGGGGATGGAATGTCTGTAAGTTGTATTGATAGTCAGAGATAAAACATAGGCCTACGAAAAGCTTAGGGCTATTTTAATGTAAGACTCAAATGTAAAACACCTTTAAAAGACTAAAATGAACTGAATTATCAATTATATATTTTAATGTGTAAAAATGTAAAAAATTCAAAAGACTTACTTATTGAACAACAAAATAAGATGGCTGAAATGTAGGCCTAAACATAAGTAATAAGTAAACATCGCATTCAGCTGATTTAAGTGAAAACAGAATAACAATAAGAAGGGAAGACATGTCTTAAATATACAATGTAGATAATATGATTAGAAATTCGTAGCCTACTTCTGGACAGGCCTAGCCAATTATCCATACCGTGGATAAAAGTGTACTTCTATTAGCCCAGGTAATTAATTATTTACTTATTACGGTTGTAACTGGACGTATGTATAGTCCGTGGCTTGGCAATCAAATAACAGTATTTAAATAGGATAGGCTACTGTTATCAACTTTTGAAATTACTGGATTGTTACCAAATTACTGTTTCACAAAATACAGATTCCATTTTCAACCGAGCCATTAAAATGAGGATTTGCCGAACAATTATTAATATTACAGAATAATATTTAATGCTATACAACTTTTCACATTTCATAAATTATATGTTAGTTTTGCTATGGTCAAAGGTCCAAATCCAAAAATGTTCTTTTCATTTGGATTTATGTAGTAATTTGCTAGAATCATTGACTTTATATCAAGTCAATGCTAGAATACTGTAGATGGCTTGTTAAGACCATAACGCAAGCATTTTTCAAATCGTTTACCCGTTTAACCAAATATTCCAAAAGATAAAAATTATATGGTGCAACACAAATAAACAACCCGATCACCTATCTATAACCTACACTTTACCTCCCTAATCCAACCTTACTTTAAAACACTTAATGTAGTCACGAATACTCATAAACCCCGACCTACCTTCACCTACCACCTACCACATGCCTAAATTAGATCAGTGTTCAATCTGCGTTTTAAGAGTAATAACTTACTGCACCGTCGATGTAATTCAACATAATATAACCTGTGAGGTATTATCGGATTAAATATCGATTTCGATGCGGTTAGATATATCGCTTATTTTTTTATCAGAATTTATTTTACAATCGGTACAAATATGAGGACAATAAGTAAAACATATATCAAAACAATGTCAGGAAACATTAAACAAGCACCTGTTCATCAACAAACCTTGCCAAAAATTGGAACAATCATTTAAATATTTACAGAAATCTGTAGCTTAGGTCCAGCACATGCACAACACTTTTTAATCTGGCAATGCACTGACTATTGTCCAGCAGATTAACAGCAAGACTGTTCGAAATCCTGATTTCTAACATTGGCTGTTTCTAATCAGCCGGCAACACAAATAGGTTCCGAGGAAAGTAGTCACAGGTCCGTATCCCTCCACTCCTTGTTAAATATTGGAAATTTTAAGTTCGATTTAAATTGCATTAGCATTATCTAATTGAAATTTGTTTGTTTAAAAACCATCTCACTATTAGTCTAAGTAATTTTGTTAAGTTTGGCTGAAATGCGTTCAGCCGTTATTGAGTGATGTTTCTCTATTTGTTGCATTGAAGTTGACCCCAAAGAGCTTCGCTCGCTCCGCATTGACAGTAGCTGCTTAAATAGTATTTTCTCTTTGTACCATTTTTTACAGCCAAAATGTCGTGTTATTTTCAATAATGTTACCAAACCAGTGCGCTAAAGTCCGTAATATAGGCAGGTGCAAATAATTTGTCAAGGTGGGTACCATTTTAGACAAAGTTTCTATGTTTGGATTTTATTAGACACGATAAGAGCAGAT